AGTGCTAGAAGGGAGTGGGGATTGTGGAGAGGAGGAGGAGGAAGAGGGGGAGGAAGAAGAGGAGGAGAAGGAGGAGGAGGAGGAGAAGGAGAAAGAAAAAAAAGGAGAAAGGAAGAGAAGGAGGAGGGCGAGAAGGAAGACTAGGGAACTTGTTGCTCTCTGAGCTTGGTTTTCTTGCAGACGTTTCATCACCCAACTAGGGAACATCATCAGTGCTGGGAAGGGAATGGGGATTGTGGAAAGGAGGAGGGAGGAAGGGGGAGAAGGAAGAGTCTGAGGTCCTTGGTGCTCTCTGAACTTGGTGGTTTCCTTGCACACCTTTCGTGACCAAACTAGGGGTTGTGAAATAAGAGAGAGGAGTTTGCAAGCAGAGGAGGGGGAAAGAGAAGGAAGGAAGAGGAGGAAGAAGGAGGGAGGAGGGGAAGGAAAAAGAGAGAACTCTGGGGTACTTGATGCTCTCTGAGCTGGGTGATTTTCTTGCAGACGTTTCACGACCCAAGTAGGGAACGTCGTCAGTGTTGGAAGGGAATGGGGATTGTGGAGACGAGGAGGAGGAAGAGGAAGAGGAGGAGGAGGGCTATGGAGTCCTGGGTGTTCTCTGAACTTGGTGGTTTTCCTGCAGGCGTTTCATGACCCAACTAGGGAGCATCCTCAGGCTTAGAAGGGAGTGGGGGTTTGCTCTCTATTTACATACTAGTGGGAGTCTTCTCCATGGCTCTTTGATCAGGCTATAGTTTATTGTTGGATTGTTTGTCTTGAGTTGGTGATTCCTAATTGAGGTATTGTTTACTGCTGGATTCAAGGAGGTTACCCATTCAGACAAACAAGCCAACAATAAACAATCATTTAACCAAGTGACCCAGAACAGTCCCAGCATCGGCTAATAGTATATAAATAAAGAGTAATGCCTATTTGCAGGGATCCTCATTCTATTCCCGAGACACCTGGACAGATTCTCCATCAGATGGTGGGTTTTTTGCTTTTTCTGGTTAGGTTGTCAGCACCTTAAACCCCACATTTTGATTGATCGTAAAATGTCAACCACTTAATTGGAATAGAGCTGGAAGGGACCTTGGAGGTTCTGTAGTCCAACCCTCTTCCCAAGCAGGAAGCCCTATGCTATGTCAGACAGGTAGCTGTCCAGTCTCTTCTTAAAAACCTCCAGGGTTGGAGCGCCCAGGACTTCTGGTGGCAGGCTGTTCCACCGGTTAATTGTCCTCCCTGTCAGGAAATTCCTCCTTAATTCCAGGTTGCTTCTCTCCTGGATTAGTTTCCATCCTTCGCTTCTTGTCCTGCCTTCTGGTGCTTTGGAGAATAGGTTGACCCCCCACCCTTCTTTGGGGCAGCCCCCCAAATCCTGGAATACTGATATCATGTCCTTCATTTTTTCTCTCTCTAGACTAACCAATTCCTGCAACCGTTCTTCACACGTTTTAGCATCCAGTCCCCTAATCCTATTTGTTATTCCCCTCTGCACTTTTTCCAAAGTCTCAACATCTTTTTTGTAACGTGGGGACCAAAACGGGATCCAGTGTTCCAGGTGTGGTCTTAACTTATTAGGTTTTATAAAGCGGTGCTAATCCTTCCCGTGATTTGGATTCGATGTCTCCGTTGATACGACCCAGGATGGTATTGGCTTTTGGGGCTGCCGCCGCGCATGGCTGGCTCCTGTTTAAGGGATCGTCCATGAAGACCCCAAGGCCCCTCTCACAGTTACTGGTTTTTTTTTTTTGAGCCAGGTTTTGCCTAATTTCTGTTGGTACCCTTGAGGGGTTTTCGCCTAGGTACAAAATCTTGGTTTTTCTCCACGTTAAATTTCTTTTTTTTAAAAAAAAATAGATTTTATTAAATTTACAATTTAAAAACACACCGACAATACATTTACAAAGTAGAAAGAAAGACGGGTAGGGGGAAAGAAGGAAAACACCCGGCCTAGCACACCGGATAAAGGCTGGTTGGGGGAAAGAGAAAGGATATAGAGGGAGAGAAGGGAAGGGAAGGGGAGGGAGAATAGGGTAGAAATACAATTAAAACGAACAATATCTTTTTGTGACAGTCTGTAAGGATCATTTCTCTTCATCATATCCAATCTACTCCTCTTTTCCATTATGTTTAAGTTACTTTTTATCATTTACATAATTTGTCTCTGTGTAAGCCAATTATACCATGAGTCCCAGTTGTCATAAAATGTTGAGGACTCTTTGTTTTTTAATGCTATCGTTATAAATTTCATGGTGTTGCATAGGGGCCCCTTGTTCAGTGCTCCAACACTGGAGGTTTTAAGAAGAGACTGATTTGGAGAATTGGGAAAAATTGTGGTCTCAAAATTATAAAATGACAATGTCAACAGCTTATAAAGAAAACTTGTATAAGATGTTTTACAGGTGGCATTTTCCCCCGACAAGAATTGCAAGAATGTTTAAGAACAAATCTGAAAAATGTTGGAAATGTCATCAGATACCTGGCTCATACTACCATATGTGGTGGACTTGTGAGGACGCTAGAAAATATTGGACTAAAATACGCATATGGTTGGAAAAAATGACAAAGACACATATAGACTTGAAACCAGAGATTTTTTTATTGGGAATCTTACCGGATATATATAATAAAAATTTGAAGTATCTGATTGTAAATATATTAACAGCGGCTAGGATTGTATTTGCTAAGAACTGGAAGAGTGAGAAAATTCCATCAGAAGAAGAAATTATTAAGAAAATATTGGATTGTGCTGAAATGAGCAAATTGACATTTGAAATCAGAGAACAAGAAGATAAACAATTTTATGAAGTTTGGGATCTTTTTTATCAATGGTTAGATAAAACATAATGATAGAATATTCAGATTTAGCATAAAAAAAAATTTTTTTTTCTTAATATTATCTTTATAAAACATTATTAAGGTAGATTTGGTATGATCTTATGATTTATTGCAAAATAAATTAAGCAAACTATAGTTATCTCGTTAAAATATGAATTAACAAAATTAAAAATGATTTTTTTTTTTTTTTTTAGTGATGATATTAGGTTATACAATTGTTGATTGATAATATGAGCTATTATGTAATATAATTATACTGGTGACTAGGAAATGGATGCACAAAAAAAAGTGGTAAACCAATCGATGCACTGTATGTAAATTTATGAAGAAGGATCTTTTTATGTTTTTTGTGGTATGTTTATGTTTATTTTGTTATGTATGTTTATGTTTATTTTGTTATGTATGTTTATGTTTATTTTGTTATTAAAAAATAAAAAAAAAATTATTAAAAAAAAAAAAAAAAAAAAAAAAAAGAAGAGACTGGACAGCTACCTGTCTGACATAGCATAGGGTTTCCTGCTTGGGAAGAGGGTTGGACTACAAAACCTCCAACCTTTTGGATCCTGAGCTTGTCTTCTGGGGTGTTGGCTATTCCTGCCAGCTTCATTTGTCGTCTGCAAATTTGATGAGTTCCCCTTCTTTTCCCCTCACCTAAGAGGATCCCCTGTTACTATGCTACTATCTATTACAATGCTACTATGCACATACTACTACGCTCGGACACTATGCCAGTATCCTCTGCTCAGGAACAGCCCAGCAGGTCAGTGGTGCCCATGGCAGCCGTCAGGATTTTAAGTCCTTTCCATTGTTTGCCAAAGGAAAACGTCCCCCCACAGTCAGGCTGCTCCTTAACAGAGCAGATTTAAGGAATGGGCTTCAGTTGGTGGCTGTTTTCTGCTTATCTCAGCTTGGGGTGTGTGTGTGTGTGTGTGTGTGTGTGTCTTATTACACTTTGGGGGGAAAACTCATGTTGTGTTTCCTGCCTCAGGTGAGACCCCCGAAAGATCCCCGGAGCTCGGCTTGTCTCAGCCAGAACTGGAAACGGCTACAGGGGTCCCGTCTCCTTCCCTGAGCCAGGTAATTGTTTCCATCAATACCTTTGCAGAAGAGGTGGCGAGGCCAGGTTTCCTGGGAGGAGACCGCAGGGAAGGCACGTAGTAAAATAAAGTAGATAAGGTAAAAGGTCTATGGAGATCCTCCGTCATTCCGGACACCGTTGTCCCAAAGGTGCTTTTTCAAGAGGCAACCGGACTTGCTTGGTTTTTCTCGGAAGACGTTTCGCTTCTCATCCAAGAAGCTTCTTCAGCTCTGACTGGGTGGTGGGGAAAGGGAGGGTTGATACTCCTGGCAGACAGCTGGTCATTTGCGTCCTTTTTGAGGGCCGTTGAGGCCACTTGGAGGTTGAACAATCTTCCCTCAAAAGAAGGGGAGGGATATGACATCACCTATTTCCAGTCTACAACACAGTCCTTTCAGCAGCCCCAAGAAGGCTCCACGCCTGTCTGCACTACTCAGGTGTGACCCTGAGGACACAGATAAACTCCCACGTGGCCTCAATAACTCTCTAAAGATGGAAATGACCAGTTGTCTGGCAGGAGTAAAAATCCTTCCATCCTTCACCCTCCGGTCAGAGCCGAAGAAGCTTCTTGGATGAGAAGCGAAACGTCTTCAAAAACAAACCAGAAAGTCCGGTTGCTTCTTGAAAAAGCACCTTTTGGGACAATGTAAGGTCAGGTAGAATAAAGAAATAGAATAAAATATAAAATAAAGAAATAATGTAAAATACAATATGAAATAAAATACCCGATTCTTGTAATGACTCCTTCTTTTTCCTTCTTTCAGTCCAGCACAGCTGGGACCCTGGAGGATCCCCTGCCGGCCCCACCGGACAGACAGCCCGATCTCCTGGAATCCTTTGCTGACGAGAAGCAGCGCGATCTGTCCATCCTGCTTCTGGAACTACAGGAGGCCCAGGAAGAGATCGCCTTCCTAAAGGGGCAGCTTCCCCTTTCGAGCAGCCTGGAAGATGACGCCGGGCGCTCCCAGGGAAACGACGCCGAGAGGGAGGGAGAAGGGACCGCGGCCGTCCAGAGCGACTCGAGCAGCAGCTCCCTGGTCACTGTGGACATCCAGGACTCCCCTTCTGTTCTGGGGATGCTCTTGGGACCGGAGGAGAATGAAACATCTCAGGGACCGTCTGCGGACTCCGAGCTGCAGTTGCAGAAAATAGCCAAGTTGGAGCTGGAAGTTGCTGAACTGCAAAGAAGGCAGCGGGAAGCCACGGAAACCCACCGGAGAGTCTTGGAGGAGAAAACCGCAGAAATTGGCCAGCTTCAAGAACAGTTGGACGGCTCCACCAGGGCCATGCAGGCCCTGGATGCCGAGCAGGACCAGCTCCTGTGCCAGCTGAAGGAACTCTGCTTCCTGGAACAGCTGAAGGATCAGCTGGAAGGCAGCCCTGCTGCCCACCCGGAGCTGCAGCCTCAGCTGCCCAACTACGAAAGGGGAATCTCTCACCTGGGCTTGCTGAAGGAGCGGATTCAGAGCCTGAGGAACGAGGCCCAATCCAAGGACGTGAAAATCGTGGCCCTGCAGAAGGACCTGGACGAAGCCCAGCGTCGGCTCTCGGAGCAAGAGATGGCAGGGAGGAACCTCCTTAGCCAGCTCCAGGAGGAGCAGCGGAACGGCCAAGCCCTGCTTGAACAGGCGCGGGAGGCTTCCGCGAAGGCCGAGGAGCAGTCCCAGGCCCTGGCCTCGAAGGAGCTGGAAGCCGCCAAGCTGGCGACGCTCCTCTCGGAGAACTCCCTGGAGGTGGAGAGGCTCCAGCAGGAAGTGGTGGAGCGGGAGCGGAGGATGGCCGAAGTCAGCGTGGGCATGTCCGACCGGATGGTGCAGCTCAACGAGGAGAAGTTCGCGCTGGGGAAGGAGCTGAGGAGCGCGATGGAGCAGCTGAGCGTCCTGCAGCGAGGGAAGGAGACCAGAGGGCAGGCGGTGGAGACGGAGGAGAGGTGGCCGCCGACGGAGGAGCGGCCCGCCGACGAAGCTGTGGAAGTGCTAAGGAAGGAGAACGAACTCCTGAGGAAGAAGCTGCAGGCTGCTCTCCTCAGCAGGAAGGAGCTCCGCGGCAGGGTTCGCCAGCTGGAGCAGGAAGGAAAAGGGGAGGACAAGATTCCCGCCGAGGGCCAGGACGGGGTGGCTCAAGAGAACGGAGGAGGCGGGCCTCCCTCCTTGAGCCCTAGTGGCCAAGGGCATCCTGTAAGGCGGGGCAGGGCTGCCTCGCTGAACCAGCTGCTCTCCGTGAAGGAAGCCGCGACGCGGGTCAGCCTCGAGGAGGAAGAATGCACGTGGCCGCGGACCGTGATTGCCGAGTTGCAGCAGCGTCTGCAGGAGAAGGACCTCCGGATCAACGCTCTGCAGGCTGAACTCGAAGGCTGCCAGTTGTCCCCCGAGAAACGGAGTCCGGCGGATCAGAATGTGGAGGGGTCCCGCTCAGCAGATTCCAGGGAAGGTGGAACAAGCAGCAAAGCTGACCTTGGCCCAGAAGGAGAAAATAAGACCAACCAAGAAGAGTTTTCGGCACTGGTCCAGGAGAGAGAAGAGCTCCAGAAGAAGCTCCAGGAAGCTCTGGCCTCGCGCAAGGAGACCGTCAAGAAAGCCAAGGAGAAGGACCGTCATTATCGCGAACTGCTGAAGCAGCAGAAGGAGGACTACAACTTGCTACAAGAACAACTCGAGCAGCAGAGCCGGGAGAAGGAGAGCCTGCAGGACCAACTCCAGACTCTGTCCGAGGTTCTGGAGAGCTTCCCTCCTCCGAAACCTGCTGGAGATGTTTCTTCTGAAGGTCCAGCGTCAGGCCTCGTGCAGGAGTTTGGCCAGGAGGTGATTGAAGAAGGTGCTTCCTTAGCCACCGAAGACCCATCGGTGCACCAGCTGAAGGCAGACTTGGAGAAGCTTCAGGCAGAGAAGAGGGAGCTGGAAGCCCACCTCACGCGCCTGCAAGGAGAACTTGATGGCAAGTCTGAGAAGACGCGGCTCCTCCAGGAAAAGGTCGAGCAACTTCTCGCCGAAGTGGAGGCGGCCAAAGCTGCCTGCAGTCAGGCAGAAGCCGACGTGGAAAGCCTGAAGGGGGAGTTGCAGGAGAGCCGGGAAGACGTTTCCAGGCTGGAGAAGCTGAGATGCCACCAAGAGGAGAAGGAACTCGGCCACAGAGAAGAAATCCAAGGCCTTCGCTCCCAGTTAGCCGATAAAAACGAGTCCCTGGGTGGCCTCCAGTTAGAGCTGCAAGAGAAGGAGAACAGGATCCAAGCATTGCAGGGACAGTTGGACCGAGCCCACCAGCTGCAGGCCGAGCTTCAGGCGAAATCGGCAGAAGAGTCGGCAGAGACCCAATCCAAAGCCCACCTCCAGAGGAAGCTGCAGGCAGCCCTCATCTCCAGAAAGGAAGCCCTGAAAGAGAGCAAGGGGCTGAAGGAAGAGTTGTCCAGCACCAAGGCCGCCTTGGAAAGCACCTCCCTCCGTCTTCAAGAAACAGAACTTCGGGCGTCTGAGCTGAACAAGGAGAAGGTGGTCTTGTTGGAGAAACTGGCGACCCTCAAGGAGGAGCGGGACAAACTCATTTCAGAGGTGGACAACGCCTTGGTGGAAAACCAGAACGTGACCGGTTCCTGCGAGAGTCTGAAGTTGGCCCTGGAAGGGGTGACACGGGAGAAGACGAGGCTGGAGGAGGAAATGGGCTTGGCGGACGCAAGGCAGGCCCAGGAGCTCCGCGAGTGGCAGAGGAAACACGAGGAGCTGCAGAAGGAGTACGAGACGCTCCTGCAGTCGTACGAGAACGTCAGCGATGAGGCCGAGCGGATCCAGCGGGTGATGGAAAGCGTCCGGCAGGAGAAGCAGGACCTCTTCCTCAGACTAAAAGAGGTGGAGGCCGAGAAGAAGGACGGGGAAGCTCGCCTGCAGGGAGCCGAGCAGGAGATGGAAGGCATGAGGGAGAAGATGAGGAAGTTTGCCAAGTCCAAGCAGCAGAAGATCTTGGAATTGGAGGAAGAGAACGAGCAGCTGAGGTTGGAAATCCACCCCGGGGACGGTAGACAGGGTGGGACCAATTCTGCTCTTCGAGAAGAGCTGGAGACCTCCAAGAAGAATTGCCAGGCTCTTTCCGAAGAGATGGACGCGCTGGTCGCCGAAAGGGACCTCTTGAAGCAGGAGGTCCAAGACTTGAGGCAGACGTTGCAAAACAAGGGAGATCAGAGCAGCATCCAAGAGGAGAAGTTGGCCGGAAGCCACGTAGTCAATTCCACCAGGATGTCTTCTTCAGAGGAGGTGGCTGAGGAAGGAGATACAAACACGGGTTCTGAGGTTCTCACCGCCGCCACTCCAAGCCTTGAGGACAAGGGGGACGATTCTGGCACAGCCGGGCCCTTGCGTGATGAAAGAACTGGAGATAGTCAACACGCGGCAGAGCTCCAGGAACAAACGGCGGCGCTGGAAAATGAGAGGGAGATGGCGGTAGAGGAAATGAACAAGGCCCATAGAGATTTGGAGGCCCTGAAGGAAGAGAAGAACCACCTGGAGGGCTTACTGGCTCTGAAAGGCCAGGAACTGGAAGCTCTTCAAGAAAAGTCCATCAGGATGGAGGAAGGTTGGGGGCAAACCAAGGAGCAGCTAGCTGAGGTGTTGACGTTGAAAGAAGCTTTGGAAACGGAGAAGGATGACCTTGAAGAGAGGCTGATGAACCAGCTGGCCGAGTTGAATGGGAGCATTGGGAACTACCAGCAGGACATGGCCCACCTGGAGAGCCAGAACCAGCAGCTCCTCAGGGAGATGGAAAGTCTTCAGGGGGCCCTGAGCCGCCTGGAAGACGAGAAGCGGCATCTGTTGAGGGAGAAGCTTGAGGGGGAAGCCAAGAAGAAAGAGAACGTGGAGAAAGTCAAGAGTGCCTGGAAGGAAGGAGACGGCCGGACTCAGACCCGAGAACTTCAGGAATTGCTGAAAGAGAAACAGCGAGAAGTGAGGCAGCTGCAGAAGGACTGCATCCAATGCCAGGAGAAGATCAGCGGCTTAGAGAGAACCGTCAAGGCCCTGGAGTTTGTCCAGAGCGAGTCCAAGAAGGAGCTGGAGACCACCAAGAAGAGCCTGGTGGAGGCAGAGGAGAAGACCCAGAAGGTCCAGGCCGAGTTGGCTTCCTGCAGGGTCTTGCTGGACGATACTCAGAGCGAAGCCGCCCGAGTCGTGGCGGAGAGCCTGAAGGTGAAAGAGGAGCTTCAGACCACCCGGGCTCAGGTCAGAGGTCAGCTGAGGGAGAAGGAGAAGGAGCTGGAGAGACACCTGGAACGAGAGAAGGCCAAGCACCTGAAGGAGATGAGGAACGCGGACGAGAGGTTGGAGGCCCTGCGGAAAAAGCAGGCGTTGGCGGAGGAGTCGGCGCGGGACCTCCAGGTGTCCCTGCGCCAGAAGGACCAAGAAGCCAAACAGCTTCAGGGTGACCTCAACCACACCTTGGCCCAGCTGGCGGCCTTCACCAGGAGCATGTCCTCCCTGCAGGACGACAGGGACCGGGTGATCGACCAGTCCAGGCAGTGGGAGAAGAAGTTCAGTGAGGCCATTGAGAAGAAGGAAGAGGAACTCTCTGCTCGGGAAGAGGCCTGCGCCGCCTTGCAAGACCAGGCCAAGAAGATGGCTCTCCAGGTGGAAGACCTCCAAGGCCTCGTGGCCAGGTAAGACAAGAGTTGGACCCTTCCGAGGCTCTTTGGGGGCTCTTGCATCCAGTTTTGGTCTAGCAGAACTAGACCAAACTAGCAGAAGCAGAACTAGAGTATGTGAGCTTAAGGGGAAGGACCTAGATCTCCTTACCCCCATTTCTTCTGTGGTCTTTTCAGTGTGGGAGATGATAACAGATAATCAGATTTGGAAGGGACCTTGTAGGTCATCTAGTCCAACCCCCTACCCAAGCGGGAGACCCTACGCCATTTCTAACAGATGCTAGCCCAGTCTCTTCTTGAAAGCCTCCAGGGATGAAGCTCCCACAACTTCTGTTCCATGGGTTGATGGTTCTCACTGTCAGAAAATTCCTCCTTATTTCCAGGTTGAATCTCTCCTTGTTCAGTTTCCATCCACTATTCCTTGTCTGGCCTTCAGGTATTTTGGAGAATAGCTTGACCCCCTTCCTCCTCTTCTCTGTGGCAACCCCTCAAATATTGGAAGATGCTCTCCTGTCTCCCCTGGTCCTTCTCTTCCCTAGACCAGCCAGGCCCAGTTCCTGCAACCGTTCATTGTATGTTTTAGCCTCCAGTCCCCTAATCATCCTTGTGGCTCTTCTCTGCACTTTTTCCAGAGTTTCAACCTCTTTTTTATAGTGTGTTGACCAAAACTGGATGCAGGACTCTAGGTGTGGTCTTTATAGAGTGGTATTAGTACTTCACTTGATCTTGATTGTATCCCTCTGCTAATGCAACTTAGAATTGTGTTGGCTTTTTTGGCTGCTGCTGCACACGGCTGACTCCTATTTAGCTGGTTGTCCACTAAGACTCCAAGATCCCTCTCCCAGTTCCTGCTTTTGAGCCTGGTTTCACCCAGTCTGTATGTGTCCTTTGGGTTTTTCTTGCCTAAGTGTAGGACTTTCCTTTTCTCATGGGGGTTGGATTTGAGACTGTCCTCTTGCAAGCAGATTTTCTGCTGGGCCTTCTTTGTAGCACAGTTCACCGTAATGCTGTTTTGCCCATATGAAGCTGTCTCTGACGCTGAAGCCACCAAGGTGGCTCAGGTCATGGGTCAAGGCTTGGAGATGTAGAGAAACCCTTTGCAGAGAAGGAGCATCCAATTTCTCCTTGGGCTGAAGCCCTCTGGCTAGATAAGGATTAAGGAGTAAATAGAGAGTATGCTTGGTGCTCTCTGACCTTAGTTATTTTCTAGCAGATGTTTCATGACCCAACTAGGTAACATCATCAGCGCTAGAAGGAAGTGGTGTTGAGGACTGGAGGAGAAAGAGAAGGACTGTGGGGTCCTGGGTGCTCTTTGAGCTTGTTGGTTTTCTTGCAGATGTTTCACGACCCAGCTGGGTAATATCATCAGTGCTACAAGCTTCTAGCACTGATGATGTTATCTAGTTGGGCCATGACACGCCTGCAAAAAAAAACCCTACCAAACTTCAGAGAACATCAAGAACTCCATCATCCTCTTCCTCCTCCTCCACAAATCCCACTTCTTTCTAGCACTGGTGACGTTACTTAGTCGGATCACGAGATGCCTGCAAGAAAACCCTGTGCTCAAGAGAGCACCAAAGACCTCACAATTCAACCCTGAGCTACAACGGTTCTATTAGTAGGTAGAGACTTGGCAGAAAGTCGCTGGGTCACCCAAGACCCAACCCAACCATATTGGAGAAGGTCCTCCTTCACCTTAAAGCTTTGTGAACCGGGAAGAGTCCAACCCATTCTTCGAAACTGCCCTGGAGAGCCCATTCCATCCTTTTCTCCCCGTCATTCGGTTTTGGAAGCTTTTTGTCAAGGGTCAGCAGATCTAGAAGTTTGTTTCTTTTCTGACTGTCCACTGGTCCACCCTCTACATTCCCTCACGACTGGGCAGTTAAATACGGCCCAGTCTCCATCCTGACTTCATGGGAATATTTCCCAGAACCCTTCTAAGGTTCTGCCAGTAGCAGAGAACTCCGTTAGCATTTTGGGTGGCGGGTTTGGAAGGAGGGTATAGTGAGGAAAAACGAAAGGAAGTGTTGTGGCCCGTCAGCCGCCGACCCCTCCAGCAGCCGAATCAGGAGGAGGAGGAGGCGCGGGAGTCAGGGCCAACATGAAGGCAGACTGGGAGCTCCAAGGAGGAAGAGGAAATGGAGCTGGCAGAGAGAGAGAGGCAGGGGCAGAGCCTGGGCTGTCCGTCAGCCCTCCAATGGAGAGTCGACAGCCCCCAGGTGTGTGGAGGTGGCTGATGAGGAAGAGGAGGAACAGCCGGGTCCAGTGCCTGACGTGTGGATGTGCAGAAGGCAGAGAGGAGAGGAGAGGAGAGGAGAGCAGTGGAAATCTATGGGCTGGTCCTCGGGGCAGTGAGCCACCGCTGCTAACGAACCCCCTTCCTAGCTCGGGATAAAAGGCAGAGGGCTGGAGACGAACTAGAGGTGGCAGAGAACTATTCCTCTCCCTGACAGATTGGTTAGCCTGCGGTGAGAGAGAAACTTTATTTTTATTTTTTTGCCGGGGCTCCTAATCAAGAAATCTTGAGTTCACTTCAGAGGGTTTGTCACGTTTGGGGAGCCGGGTCAGAACGGGAACGTCTACGGGGCTCTGTCCGATTCTGCCCTTTCTGCTTGCAGCTTGGAACGCAGCCAGTCTGCGCAAGAGTCCCGTGCCCAGATGGAGCTCCAGCACCACCGAGAAGAAGTTGGGTTGCTCCAGGAAGAGAAACAGAGACTTGGACTCCGGCTGGAAGAGGCCCAGCGGCTGCTGAGCAACTCCCAGAGCCAGGTCCTCCAGCAAGGGGCAGAACTCGGGTCTCTGAGAAAGCAGCTGGCTGATCTTCGGGCCTCTTTCGAAGACTGCGACCGGGCACGCCTTGAGATGTCCAAGACGGCAAAGAGGCACGAGGCCAGTCTTCGGGATTGCAGGCTGAATCTGGAGCAGCTGGAGGCTGATCTGAGGGCTTCCAAGGAGCTGACGGATAGGCTGCACAACGAGATGAGCGACAAGGAGCAGAAGATTGTCGCCCTTGTGGCTGCCAAGGAAGAGGCTGTAGCCGAAGCCCTGTTAGAAGCCCAAAAGCAGCACCAGGAAGACCTGAAGGACTTGGAAGACCAGGTGGCCAAGATTGAAGCCCAGAAGGTGGCCCTGGAGGCCGAGAAGGCAACAGCTCAGGAGAAAGTGAAGGGTCTTGTGGAGAAGCTGAGAAAGGTCCACGAAGAGAGCAAGCAGCACAAAGCTCAGCTAGATGCCTTCACCAAATCCATGTCTTCCCTTCAGGATGACCGGGACAGGGTCCTAGAGGACTATCGGCAGCTGGAACAACGTCACCTGGCTGCCATTTTAGAGAAGGATCAGCTCATCCAGGAAGCGGCCGCCGAGAACAATTCCTTGAAGGAGCAACTTCGGAGCCTCCACGGCCAGATGGACGACTTGCACGCGGAGAATGCCAAGTTGGAGGCCGAATTGAGACGCTATCGCGAAGACCTGAATCAAGTCATCTCCATCAAGGACACTCAGCAGAAGCAGCTGCTGAAGACCCAGCTCGACCGGATCCAGGTCCTGGAGAAGGAGAAGGCGGGCGTGGAAGGCCAACTGCGGGAGTCGGAGCTTCGTTTGGCGAACCTACAGCGAGCCGCGGAGGCCCAGGGAGGGAAGGCTCTGGAAGGCTCCCAGTTGCGGGGCGAGATGCCGGTCCTGCGGGAAGGGGGCTCCCTGTTGGAACTCCAGCTGCAGTTGCAAGAGAAAGTGGAGGAAATCCAGAGGTTGGGTGGGCAGCTGTCGCTGGCACATCAGCGGGTGGCGGGCCTTGAAGAGGAGCTGGCTGGTCTCCGCCAGAAGCTGCAGGACGCAGAAGCCAAGATGAAGAAAGAGCTCAAGAGCTTCCATCACGACACGGGACTTCTGAGGAACGAGACCGAGACTGCTGAAGAACGGGTGGCGGAGCTGGCCAAGGACCTCCTGCGGATGGAGCAGAGCCTCCTGGGCGTCACGGAAGAAAACCAGGATCTGAAGGCCCAAATCCAGTCCTTCAAGAAGGCCATGAGTTCCCTCCAAGACAGCTGGGACCAGCTGCACGAAGAACGGCGCGCCCTGGAGAAGAAATGCGCTGCCGACCTGGAAGAGCAGAGGCAGCTGGTCCAAAACCTCCAGTGGGAGAAGCTCCATGCTCAGGAGGCGTGCGCCGCCCTGGAGAAGCAGAGGGACGGCCTGACCGCCCAGCTCGCCGCCCTCCGAGACTCGGCGGAAGAGAAGGGCTCCTCAGAGGCGCTGGAGAAACTCAGCCAGCAGCTGCGGTCCAAAGATTCTCAGCTCGCTTGCCTCTCGTCAGAGCTGGAGGGGGCCTCTGGCCAAGTGAAGGCCTTCTCCCAAGCCATGGCCAGCCTGCAGGCGGATCGAGACCGTCTGTTGGGCGAGCTGGACAGAAGCCGCCAGGTGGAGGAGGTGAAGCTGCAGTCGGCCGCCAGTCTGCCTCCGAGTCTTGCCGAAACGTCCAACCTCAAGAAGGCACTCTCGTCCCTCCAGAACGACCGAGACCGGCTGGTAAGTCTTGCCTCTCCGCGGTGTGGGCAGAGTAGCCGAGTCAGAAGGGACCCTCGTGGTCTGCTAGTCCAACACCCTTTTGAAGCGGAAAAACTACACCGCTTCAGACAAATGGTTGTCCAATCTCTCCTTAAAAACTTCCAGGGATGGACATTCACGACTTCCAGTGGCAAACTGTTCCACTGGTTAATTGTTCTCCCTGTTAGGAAATGTCTCCTGAATCCCAGGTTGCTCCTGTCCTTGACTAGTTTCCATCTGTTGCTTCTTTCTCCTGCCTTCAGGGGCTTTGAAGAATAGGTTGGCCCCTTCCTCTCTGCGGCAGCCCCTCAAATATTGGAACCCCGCTATCAGGTGTATTGTTGTCCTCGTAAAGATGTGTGATATTGTTAATGATGTTGTTACGGGACGCGTATCGTTGTTACGATAGCGCTCTTTCAGTGCTATCTCTGTTCTATGTCGCCCCTCATCCTTCTCTTCGGTAGAGTAGACATACCCAATTCCCGCGAGCTTTTGCGGAGACGTTTTATGGGGTCCTCGGAGGTCCACCAGGGAGCGCCCTCAGCGCCAGCTCTGGTGATGCTACCTAGTTGGGTCATGAAAACAACGCCTGCGAGGAAACCTCCAAGAGCACCTGGGAACCTTCAGTTCAATCCCAAGCGGCTAACGATAATTCTCTCCCGTTGAAGTCGGAATCTTTTGTGGGGGGATCCCTACACCCCGCCCCCCGCTTAACCTGCTTTGGAGAAGCGGCCGGTCCCATTGGGAGTCTTGACCGGCAGGTTCTCCTCTCCTTGCCCTCCAGCTGGTGGAGCTGAAGAACCTGAAGCAGCAGGTGGAGGCGGATGCGGCCGAGATCTCCCGCTTGAAGGCCCAGCTCCAGCGGAAGCAGGAAGAGGCGGAGCAGCAGGAGGAGGCGTTCCAGGCGAAGCTGGAGCAGCGGAGGGCCTCCGTGGAGCTGGAGCTCCGGCAACTCAGGTGAGGCCCTGCGGCCGTGCAGGTAGACCCTTCGACTGAGCCCCTCCCTCCCTCCCTCCCTCCCTCGGGGCGGGGACGGGGACAGGAACGTCTTGCTTCTAAGCAAGGCGGTTGCGAACGGAGACGTTCCTGACTTTGCAACCCGATTTGTTCAATAAATCATCACCGCAGTTGTTAAGGGAATCGAGTTTTTCTCCCAGCGACTTTCACTCTGGGGGCTTCATTTTTTTTTAATTTTTCAGGGAAGAAAAGGCAGGTTGGGAGCAGGGCAGGTGGCAGAGCCCCCCCAGCAGCAACGCCCAGGTGAGTGGCTTGGTCCGGAGGGCCCCCCCGAGGGGCGTGTATTTTATTTTGTTTTTATATTTCATATTACTCCATATTTTATATTATTTTATATATATTTTTTTTTATTTGATGTTTTATATTGTTTTACATTTTATATTATTTTATATTTTATATTATATTTTATGTATCATTTTATATTATATATTATATATCATTTTATATTATATATTTTGTATTATATATCATTTTATATTATATATTTTTTATTTCATATTTCATATTTGATATTTTAGATTATTTTATATATTTTATATTTTAGGTTTTAGGTTTTACCTTTTGTATTATTTTATATTTTATTTTATATTTTATATATCATTTTATATTATGCTTTATATTATATATCATTTTATATTATATATTTTATATTATATATAAGGGCAGGCAAGCCCTGCTTCGCGGATTCCATCCGTCCTCGCTCCCACCCACCCACCCAAACCCACAAAGTCCCCCAATCGCGCAGCCCAGAATCGCCCTCCCCTCAGGGGGCAGCAACGACGCCCGGTGTTTCCTGAAACAAGAAGCTCCGCCGTGCAATGAAAGCGCCCTGGCTCTAGGCTCAGAAAACAACGTGAGCCGAGGTGGCTTCGTTTCCTCAGCCCCAGCTGCTTTCAGTCCGCTCGGGAGGAGGAGGGGGAGGAGGAGGAGGTGGTGGCAGCGGCTCGCGTTATTTTCTGAGCTCTAGGTTCTAGGCTCGCAATCTCAGTAAACAACGCGAGCCAAGGTGGCTTCGTTTCCTCAGCCCTAGCTGCTT